AAAAAATCCAAAAAAAATCTCATTTGGGTTGAGATGGACCATAAGGTGATGGACCATAAGCAACTGGGTTGAAACTTTGAAAAAGCTGAGTGCCAAGCACACCAATGCTGATTTTGGACAGAAGAAGGTGGAAACACTGGAAATGTTCAGGAGAGCATGAGAGCCAAGAAGCACAGAGCCAAGAGACCATTCCCTGGAGCCCATGAGACCCCAGGGGAACTTCTACAAATGTCTGCAGTGGAGGCAAGTTTGTACTCTGCTGTGCCTTACATCACTTCCTAGCATTGATTCAGTGTTCCAGGACTGGAAAATTATGTCTGGCTTCATGGATATGGAGGCATGTGCACCATCCACAGTAACAGCCCAGTAGCTGGCTGCTCCCCACTGAAGGAGCTGGACAGATTTACCATTGCAATTCTGGGCCTTGATATTTCTTTACTGGCCCAAGTAAAGGATGATTTGAAACAAAAACTAGGTGATGCAAACTCTAGGGGAAACTGAGGAGATAAAATGATCAGGGATAATTTTTTTTTCCTGCAATACCAAAACAGTAAAATTTAAGTCTGACATTTTTAGAAAGACAGGAGCTGACAAATATAGGAGGAATACAAAGCTGTCCTCAATCCTCCCCCATCTTAATGTCTTCTTTAAAAATAAATAAACAGAAGAATAAAACAAGCATTCAAAAAGTGGCAGCCACAACTCACTTTGTCACACACTAGAAGCTCCTCCATCCACAGACCCATGGGAATGCCACCTTCCTCATGCCTACCCCTCCTGATGCACTGCTAATGTGAGCCAGACTCACACATGCAGCTGACTGACACCAAAGAACCCACTTGATGCATTTTATTCCATTTTCAACTATTTAATTTCTAGAAGACTAGACTTAAACCTAAGCCAGCACAATTCAGATCACAGCCTCCAGTCTGCCCAGGTGAGCTGTCCAGTCAGACCAGCTCCACTATTCCACTCATTTTAGACTGGCTCGATGCTTCTCATAAGTCAGGGACACCTGGCAGCAAACTACTCACCTGCACAGGCCTCAATAAACAATAACAACAAAAAATTATTATTATTAT